CATCTGAAACGCAGTAAAATATAACAACAAAAAGAGCAAAACAATAAAAGAAAGTAATTTTTGACGGAGTTGATTGTTGTTGTTGAAGCTAGAGGGATGATGAGTTCTAGTTTGCTGAAAATGCAGATTTGCAATTGGCAAAACAAACAAAATTGTGAAAGGGAAGGGGAAGAGAAGCAGCAACGATGGTGATTGCTTGTTGTTGTTGGGTTTCACGAGCTCATGGAGTTGATGATGTTCGCGGTGGTTTTTTCGTGTCGATGAGGCGGCGGCGAAAAGGGTTGTTTTGGGGTGGTGATTTTTGGCGATTTGGAAGTGTGTGGTGGTTGTTTGGAGGTGTTTTCGATGTGGTTCACCAGAGTTTCTGATTGGAGAAGGAAGATGGGTTGAGAGAAGTCGACCAGTGGGGTCGATTTGGGTGTTTTTTGGTGACATTTTGGCTGGAGAAAAGAGGAAGTAAAGGGTGGTCTGGTTCGCCGGAGTTGGCGTCTGGTTGTGAGGTGGTTTACAGATTGTTTTCCGTCGGAGTGGGCTGGTTTCAGGTGGGTTTGGTCGCCGGCCGGAAAGTGGGTGATGGTGGCTGTGAAAATGGAAAAAATGGGGTCGTTTAGGGGTGGTTGTTTGGTGGTTGTACAGCAGTGTGGCAAGGAGAGGTTGGTCGGGAAAATGGGAAAACAGAGGCTGAAGTTATTGCTTCTTCCTCCCCAATTTTCCCTTTGTTCATCTCTTAGGTTAAGTGTTAGAGGGTCAGGCATGGGTTTTAAAATGGGTAACGGGTCGATTTTTTAAGATTCGGGTTAATTTAAGTTGATTTGGGGCTTTCCGTCAAATAAGGGTATATATGGTGAAATTAGTAACGGCAGGGGTAAAAATAACTCCACTTTAACAGTAAGGGTATAGCCAACCAATAAAACAAAGTTGAGGGGTATTTTTGACCCTTGTCCCATTAATAAATGGCCTGATGGCCAAAACGTGTTTAAAAAAAACACTAATGGAGCCTCTTCAACATACAAGACACATTCAGAAGTATAAAAGAAGATTGGGTATGCAGTATGCTAATTACAGTCGGAATGGTAAAATTTGGGTGTTTGTCCAAAAAAATATTCAAGTGGAGATCTTATCAAACTCTGAACAACAGATTACATTACAACTTACATTTCAAGATTCGGGAGATTCCATCATCTATACTTTTGTTTATGCTAAGTGTTCAGCAGTTGAAAGACTAAGCTTGTGGGATGATATGTATTTACTGAGTCACAATATGAGGTTACCTTGGCTTGTAGGTGGCGACTTCAATGTTATTTTGAATGATGAAGAGAAAATTGGAGTTCTTCCTGTTTATCCTCAAGAATATGAGAATTTTTCTTTCTATGTGAACTCTTGTGAGCTTTTTGATATTAACTTTAACGGGAGTCCTTTTACTTGGTGGAATGAAAGAGTTGATGTTGAATGTATAATTAAAAGACTTGATAGACTGATGATCAATCAGGTTTTTCTTAGTCATTATTGAAATGTGGAGCTGGAGCATCTGGCAAGAACAGGGTTTGATCATGCACCCATGTTGCTGAGTTGTGGGGATCAGACTACTAATATAAAGAGGTCTTTCAGATTTTTGAAATTCTGGACAGAAAAAGTTGATTTCAAAGATGTTGTGACAGATAATTGGGTTGCTGATGAGTCCATTGATGTTTTTATTAGCTTGAAACAGAAGATGAAGAAGACTAAAATTGCATTGTCTACATGGAGTAGGGTGAGATTTAGCGATACTTTTAAGCTACTGGTAATAAGGGAAGATATCGTTAGAATTAAAGAAGGTCTTTTTGAAGAACTACCAACTGCTGAAAACAGAGATATTCTTCAAAAGGCACATGTTGAGTTAAACAATATTTACACTATGAAGAGGAATTTAGGAGATAGAAATCTGGTGTTAAATGGTTTATTGAAGGAGACAAGAATACAAGATTTTTTTCATAATCTTGTGAACGGGAGAAGAAAGAGATTACAAGTCAAAAGAATACTTAAAAGAGATGGTCAATGTGGTGGAGGCTTTCTTTAATGGTTGGAAAAACCATTAAAGAAAAAAGACTCTTCCCAAATCTATTGCCTAAGAAAAAAGACTCTTCCCAAATCTATTACTCTTACTAATTTGGTCTTACTGCCTAAGTAAAAAGTGATTCAATCATTTTCTGATATGAGACCTATTAGTTTAAGTAATTTTCAAAAAAAAGTTATCTTTAGAGTGATTCATGATAGGTTGGAAAAACTGCTCCCAAGACTGATCTCTCCTAATAAGTCTGGTTTTGTGAAGGGAAGGAGCATCACAGAGAATGTCCTCTTAGCTCAAGAAATTATTGCAGATATCAGATTAAGAGGTAGACCAGCTAATGTTGTGATTAAGCTTGACATGTCCAAGGCTTGTGATAAGAGTGAATTGGAGATTTCTGATTAAAGTTATGGAGAAAATGGGTTATAACGGTTTTGTTGCAGATAAAGTGTGGAGATTGGTGGCAAATAACTGGTATTCGGTCCTCATTAACGAACAAGCTCGTGGTTTCTTTCACTCTTCTAGAGGGGTAAAACAGGGAGATCCTCTCTCCCCTGCATTATTCATTTTTGGTTGTGGAAGTTCTTTCTAGAGCTTTAAACAATTTGTTCCATAATCAGGACTTTTACAAGATATGGAATGCCTAAGTGGAGTGATGATATTAATCATCTTGCATATGCAGATGATACCATTATCTTTGTTAGTGCAGAGAAGAAGTCGCTTGATTTGGTTATGGAAAGACTAGGCTTATATGAAGATCAATCAGGGCAGATGATTAATAAAGAGAAGAGTTGCTTCTATGTGTATAGCAAAACTGCCCATTCTATAGTTCAAACTTTTGAGGATTGCAATGGTTTTATTAGAGGCAAGTTTCCGTTGACTTATTTTGGTTGTCCTATTGGTCATGCAATGAAGAGGAAAAGTCATTTTTCCGATATCATGAAGAAAGTTCAAAGCAAAATACAGGCTTGGAAGGGTAAACTTTTATCTTTTGGTGGTAAGTCTGTGTTGATTAATAATGTTTTACAGAGTGTTCCTATATACCTCTTATCTGCAATAACACCTCCTAAATGTGTTATTCATGATTTACATAAATTATTTGCTAAATTTCTATGGAACTCTAAGGAAGAGGGGAGAAGCAAACATTGGATATCATGGTCTGATATTTGTAGGCCTAAGGAGGAAGGTGGGTTGGGCTTTAGATATCTTTTTGATGTGTCCAAAGCAATGTTTGCCAAGCTTTGGTGGACTTTACAAACTAAAAAGTCAATGTGGACTATATACATGTGGAACAAATATTGTAAGAGACATAGACCTCAATTGATGGAATGGATTGGAGATTTTCAGACTTGGAAGTTTATGTTAGAAGCCAGAGATTGTATTGACCAACAAATTTAGTGGGAACCAAAGTGTGGTCATTCCAGTGTATGGTTTGATAACTGGACACAATTGGGTGCTCTTTACTATTATTTACCTGTTTCTCATTCTAACAATTTTGATTTTGATGAGGTAAATCAGTTGATGATTCAGGGACATTGGAATAAAGATCTCATGCTCCAATTACTACCAGAAGATGTCTGTAAACATGTCCAAAATGTAATTGGAGTAGTAGAGGATACTGAAGAATGGGACTCACCAAGATGGATGTGTACTAGCTCTGGAAAATTTACGGTTGGAAGTGCCTGGGATGTGTTGAGACAAGGAAATGATGAACAAGAAATTGCTAAGAAGATTTGGGTGAAAGGAGTTCCCTTCAAATTTTCTTTCTTTCTTTCTTTGGTGATTGTGGAAAAAAAGAATACCCATTGGGGAAGTTCTTATCAAGATTAAAGTGGTGGATGAAGGTAAGTGTTGTTGTTGTAATAGTTCAGAAAATGAAACTTTTGAACATCTTTTTGTGACGTGCTCTATGGCTAAGAAGTTGTGGAATACTTTTACTAGTATTGCTGATGTGCAGGGACCTTTTCTGCAGCTTAACGATACTATACATAGATGGTGGAGTAAGGATTGCTCGTCAAAGCTTAGACCTCTCTTCAAGGCTTCCCCGTCAGTTATCACTTGGCAAATCTAGAAAATGAGAAATATAATTTTCTCATGGAGGTAATATGTCATTTTATGGTATGGTTATGGAGGTCAACAGAAGTTTATATCATCTAGCTACGTTTAGCTATCCTTGGTTGCAAAACATTCCTAATACTTAACATATGATGGTTCTTTTTTTTACAGAATATGCACCCCTTATTGATTGTAAGGTGGTATACTGGAGATTGTCTAGATTAGGGTCCTACAAGTGTAACTCGGATGGTGAAGTAAAAGGAGTTGGTGGCCTAGTGCTGGGGCCTTTTGTATTAGAAATGAGGAAGGAAATTTGATACATGCTGAGTCTTTTGGTTTGGGAATAACTTAGTTCTAATGTCTGAGGCAATGACTTTGCGAAGATGACTAGAGTATTGTATAATGCATCAATACTTACCAGTAATATTGGAGACTGACTCATTAATGCTCCAAAAGAGATTTTTAATGGAATTTGGGAGGCTCCTTGGAGTAGCCGATTGGAGGTGAAAAGGATCAATGGTCTGAGAATTAATGTTGATGCAAGAGTGGAGCACATCTTTAGGGAAGGCAACACTTTTGCAGATTATTTAGCTAACCAATTTTTTCTTTTTGCAGGTACAACAGGTATCATCTATTCAGATTACCAAGAGTTACCACCAAAAGGGAAAGCAATATTACACCTAGATAAAACACAAACTCCCAATCTTAGAATTAGAAACATCCAAAACAAGGGTTTCAATACACAAACATAATTGAGACAAACAAGACCAACCAGACATGGATGACAAAGAAATATCAAAAGGCGATGGTAGTACCTGCATACTTGCATAAGTGGATGTAATTGCAATATACTGTTTATGCAGAGATGGAACTCATATGTGACCTCCTTATGCAGTGGTACCAGCCTCTTTGGGGCTCAACCTGCAGAGAAGGTCATGGATGAATTAAATCGAAGTATAACAGTGCACAAAGATGAAAGAGGAGAAAGCATTGTTCATTCAACTTCATTTTATGGTTTAGATCTAATCAATCCGAGTTGAAGAAGTCTTCAAAGGACTTAATTTCATGGCACTTGTAAGAGTTTTTGAGTGTCTTCAGTGAAATTTGTCCAAATTCGGATCCATTTCAATTTATGTCTATATATTGGAGACATTTGAACTATCTTCTATCCTCTTCTCACTGCTACCTTCATCGGAGAGGTCGATTTCTCCGACCATGGAGCAAACTTGAGAATCAGAAAAATGCAAAACAGAAAATATGGCTACAGTGATAATAATACTAATGCGCAATGCGGCAAGTAACAATAGTATTTCAGGTGAAAGCACAAAGAAAGGAAAGCATATTGGGTTATCAAGATATATAAAATCTAAACATCAGTGAAGTAGTGTACTTAAAGGAACAATCTTTAGAAAAGTTAATAAGAATTACCTGGCCTATGCAGTGGTGTTAGTTAGGGTTTCTGACTCAATCTGCAGGAAAGGGTAAAACTTAGAAATGGAGCTCAAGGATCATTTACAACATCAAAAGCGAGTTAGGGAGTAGATCGATTCTTACCTAAGTTGTTCGAGCTGTGTGGATTCAGTGGAAACGAACCGAACGTAGCTGGTTGCAGCAGGTGATGACTCGATTTCACTCCAAGGCAGCACCTCGTCTTCATCCTCCAGGGAAGCTCAAGCTTGAAAACGACCAACTCTTTTTTACTTTGTTTGGTTGTTCATTTCTGTATTTTGTTTTTGGAAAGAGTACTTTGTTTTTAGACCAGATCATACATGATCTGGTTATTCTTTTTAGTTTCTAATAAATGGTCCCTGAGACCGGCTTTGATTAAAAAAAATGTATAAATTAGAAGAGAATTTACATATTATTTTATTCTACATAATATTATTTTATATAATGTATTATTTATACCTCTAATCTCAAATCAATGATTTATTTGAAATCATGATGAAGAGAGGGTCACTAGGGTAGTCCAATCGCGGGTCTGTCTTGAATAGAGAGTGTACTAATTTCTTAGGTCATTTTCAATCCATCTATATTTTTTTCTCTATACTTTACTATATTTGAAGACTAAAATAGGATATAGTGTCTTCAACCACATTCCAAAAAATCATCAATTTTCTATTTATAGGGATGTGTCCTCTCAATTTTACCTTTTGATTATTTTAATATTATTTATATTATATAACATTTGTAGTTAACATATTATTAGGGGTGTGCATCGGTCGGTTCGGGTCAGTTTTATGTATTATCGATCCAATTTATTGTTTTTGGTTTATAAATATGCTAAACTAACAACCAAACCAATAAGACTTCTTTTGTCGATTTTTAATTTATCAGTTTTGGTTCTTAACGGTTCGGTTTTTGGTTTATCCAATAAGAAAATGCTTATAAATATATATATTTCTCTAATAATTTGACACGACAAGACAATAATGTAGTTTTACAGAACACTCATAAAATAAAATAATAATAATAAATAACTTGAAACGAACTATACAAGTGGGTAGGGGTGTTCACGGTTTGGTTTGGGTCGGTTATTGGTCAAAACCAAAACCAAACCAACTTAATCGGTTTTAAAATTATCAAAACCAAATCAAACCAAATATAATATACATTTATTGGTTTGGTTGTTTTTGGTTTTGGTTTGGTTTGGTTCGGTTATTCGGTTATTAACCATAGATAAAAATAAAATAAACAATTCATTCAAAACGTGAAAAAAGTGACAACAATACATTCAAACAAAAAAATAGTTAGAATGACTGGCATTACAGAACTTTCGATCATTGAATTTACTGAATAAAAGTTCAAAATTCACTATTTTGGCATAGAAGGAAGAGACAATGACATTTTTAGTCCCACAAAGAATTTTCATAGACACTCATATACATGAAGCCTAAAAAAAATGTTCTCACTTTGGACATTTTTTCTTTCATACGTAAATTATAAAAATAAATTTTGATGAAACATATATAAAATCTTTAAAATTGTTTATGAATATAATATAGTATGTATGTATAATAATAAAATTTATGTATATAACTTGTTGGTTCGATTCGGTTATTTCTTCGATTTTTTTCGAACAAAACCATAACCAAACCAAATACTATCGGTTCTTAATAATCTAAAACCAAACTAAACCAAAACCCAAATTAAATACGGTTAATTTAATCGGTTTGGTTTGGTTTTTCGGTTTGGATCGGTTTTTATCCAAACGATGAACACCCCTACAAGTGGGTAGGGATGGCAATGGGGTGGGGCAGATGTAGGGTGGAGCATGTTTAAGGCTATGCGGGATGGGGAAGGTTTAAGGTTGTGTGGGGCGGGTGGGATGCGGGGCGGGTTGAAGTGGGATTTTTTTAAAACTAATGAGGGGCGGGGCGGGTTGAGGTTATATATTTTATGTGGGTTTAAACTTAATTTTAATTTTTTACATGTTATAAAAGTGATAGAACATTATTTATTAAGATAAATTCTTTAAAGTTACTAAAATATTCAACATAGTAAATGAAAATGGTTCAATAAAAAATAATTCAATTTCTTACATGTTTCCCAGTTGACCTCTAAAAAATAAAATTTTATGTCACTATCATATTAAATTAATACAACTTAATGAATAATAAATTTATTTTTATGAATCTTATTTTTAGTATCAAACTTAATTAGAAAAAAAATATATTAAAAAAATTATGTGGGGCGGTTCATGCGGAGCGGGTCTATCCCCCGGGTGGGGCGGGTTTGAAAATGAAAAAAATGTTATGCAAGGCGGGACGGGGCGGATTAAAAATTTTGTGGGTTAAGATCAACCCCCCGCCCTGCACCACCCCATTGTCATCCCTACAAGTGGGCCCAAAATATAATTGAAATTACTTTTGGAGGAGTGACATTCCTACAAAAGTTAAGTGTTTCACCTGGTTAGTGATGAAGAGAACATGTTTAACACAAGAAGTTCTGCAGAAGAAAGGTTGGTAGCTGGTCCCTAGGTGTTTTTTGTGCAACTCAACAGCGGGAACAAATAACCATCTCTTATTGCATTGTAAGTTTACTACTCAAATTTGGAACATGTTTCTCAACTTAATAAGCATGAACTCAACAATGAAAAAATATGCATCAAATATGTTGAGCTGATGGATTAGGAGGGAAGGCAATAAGAGTCAAAAGAGATGGTGAAAGCTAATTCCATCATGTCATCATGTGTATGGTGATCAGTCTGAAAAGAAAGAAATGGAAAATATTTTGAAGATAGATCCAATTCCATCCACAAAGTTAAATGAAATTATATAGTATCTTTATTCTTTTGGTGTAAACAACTTTATATAGATAATATAGATCAAATTTTAGATTTGATAGAAAATCTGTAATCTCTTTTTGGAGGTAGCCAACATACCATTAATGCTGAAGAATACAACCATGCCAGTTATTTTTGATAAAAAGAAAAAAAAAACAAAATAAAACTATACAAGTGCAACACAAAGAGAAAGAATGTGGTTCTTACTTTATGTTTTGACGTATAATTCGAAGTTGTGAACTCAAAGTTATTGTAAAGTGTGAATTGAATGCTAAAGGGCAAAGACAATAACCAATAAAGCATTGAGATTAATATTTAATATTTATCTATGGATAAAGTAGTAAATTACTACTGTCTTAATGGGATATCGATTTACCCAATAATCCAATATTAAAAATCAAAATTGGACCAATAACCCTATAATTATATTTTTTTCAAAATCATTAAAAACTCGTTAACCCAATAATCCGATAATAATAAACCAATAATATTATTTTTGGTTTGATTTATCGGTCGGTTCGATTTTTGCACACCCCTGCATATTATAAATCATATCAGACCATTAATTAAGTCTCTAACATTCATAATTATTTTCTAATCTAATGCATTTATTATATTTATTTATAATTTTTATTAATGAGAGTTTGTAAAAATAATATTTGAGATATAAGTTAGTTTTATTATAATTAATAATTGTATTAAGAAATAATCATCATAGAAATGAAAAATGCGCGTGTTAAATGAGTAAATAAATTTAAAATGTTATAAATTCATTGTATTGATGTGGATTATCCATTAGAGTTATCCAACAATTAATGGGATTCATGTATAGGTGTTTCCAAGGTGATAAGAACACTTAGGATAACCATGTATTTACTAGTTAGATGACTTTTGGGAGTGATATCTCAACACTATAAATAGAGATATCACTCACCATTCGGAAGACACACTTGAATAAGAAAAGTTCTCTCTTCCATCTATACTTCTTGTCTTCTTCTTATTATTATATTATATCATTCTGAGCTTTCTTTTATAATACGTTATCAACACGAAGCTCCTAATTGCAAAGGTATTATATAAATATTCTTATTTAATTCACTTATTCTCTCATAATCTCATCATGTCGAATTTATCCAAACTTGAGTTTGTGGCACTAGATATTTCTAGAAAAAATTACCTTTCATGGGTACTCGATGTTGAGATTCACTTAGCTGCTAAAGGTCTTGATGTCACCATTACTTAGGGAAATGAAGCATCGAGTCAAGATAAGGCGAAGGCTATGATTTTCCTTCGTCATCATCTTGATGAGGGCCTGAAGACTGAATATCTGATGGTAAAAGATCCACTTGAATTGTGGACTGATTTGAAGGGAAGGTTTGACCACCTAAAGGCTACAGTATTGCCAAGAGTTCGTTATGAATGGATGCACTTACGGTTTCAAGATTTTAAGACTGTAATTGAATACAACCAACTCTGTTGTATTCAGGATAACCTCACAATTGAAATTATGTGGGGAGACTATAAAAGATGAGGAATTGTTGAAAAAGACACTTACTACTTTCCATGCCTCAAATGTGATATAGCAGCAACAATATCGTGAAAAGGGTTTTCAGAAATACTTTGAACTGATCTCATGCCTTCTGGTGGCTGAGCAACATAATGCCATTTTAATGAAAAATCATGAAGCTCGTCCCTCTGGAGCTACTCCTTTACCGGAAGCAAATGTGGTAGAAGCACGTGCTCAATCTGAAGTTAAAAGAGATGATCATTGGGGCTATAATAATGCGCGGGGACGTGGCAAGGATAAGAGACGATACAACAATCGTCGAGGTAGTGATCATAATAAAAGGTAGAATAACATGAGTTCTCAAAATAACCCCTCAAAAAGTAATTGTCATCATTGTGGCATGAAAGGTCATTGGAAGAGTGAATGTCGCACCTGAGCGTTTTGTCAGTCTCTACCAAAATTCCTTTAAAAGAAAAAGAAATAAAGGCGGTGCCTCCTCTTCCAATGCTCGAGTTGAGTCACATATGACTCTTAAAGATGATGATAAGGCGAGAACATCTCAGAAATATGATAAGGATGTTGAAGCAAATTTGGCTTTAAAGAATGATGTTTTTGATGGCCTTGGTGATATTACTCATATGGATGTTGATGACTTCTTTGGAGATCGAAACTAAAGTTTGATCTTTTAGCTGGGGAATGTAGTTTGTTGCTATTTTACTTATGTGTTTTTAATTATCATGTTCTTCTTTATGTTGAAGTATTTAAATTTTCGTTATTAGTTTTGTTTTCTACTTCTTTTG